GCTGCAAACAGACGCTGTGGAGTTTCACTGCAAACAGCAGCTGCCGCTTCAAACAAAGGGGCACCGGCCGTGCCTTGGTGTAGGCAGAGCCACACCACAGCTGGCACCACCGCCCCGGGCATTGTCCCATGGCAGGGGGGTGGCAGCAGGAGTCTGAGCCCGGGATGCAGCAGAGACCCTGCTGAACGTGGCACCGCTGGGAGCTGATGGTTGCTGTGCCCGTGGGGTGCAGGGGGTGCCCATGGGGCTGAGGGCATGCACACCTGCACCCTGGGGTGGGGGCAGAGTCCCCCAGGCAGCAGGGCTGCGGTGCAGGGGCTGCAGCCAGCTGGGACATGGTCACTGTCAGCACATGCTGGGCAGGGAGAGAGGGGATACGGCAGGGACACAGGGGCCAGGACGCAAGGAGCTGCTCCCAGGGGCTGCCTGTGCCTGGCAGCTGCTGGGTTTGACTCCTGGTACTCACCACCCTTCTCTGGTGTTATGCTCGGCTCTGCCCTGAGGATGAGGAGGCCCAAGAGGAGGAAAACTCCTGTGCTCATGCTGCTGCTGGGGATGTTGGGTATGTCTGGAGCTGAGCTGGGGTCTGTGTCAGGGTGCCTGGAGTGGCAGGGCAGCAGAAGCTGAGCTGCCTGCTGTGGCAGCTGGCTGTGCTATGGGCAGGAGGGGCAGGAGGAGGGGCAGTTCCCAGAACCCACCGGCGCCCTGCCAGGCACCCGGCTTATCTCTGCCCAAGCCCTGCTTTGGGGTCATGGTGACCTGTGGGGCTGGGAAGGCCAGATGGGGTCAGGCACTTCTGCCCCTCATGTTGCACGGCCCCATCCTTGCTGGAGCTGGCTGCCACTCCCTCTCTGGGTTTCTTTCCAGCCCCACTCACCCCTCTGCTTCCTGGAGTGGGGGCTGTGGATAGACCTCAGGGCTTGGTCCTGGCATGGCCATGGGAGCAGCACGAGGGGTTCTAACAGCTCTGCTGTCATGGTGCTGCTCCTCAGCCAAGGGCAGCTTTCATGCAGGGACTGCTTGGCACCCAGCACCATGAACAAGCAGGTCCTGCCATGGCCCCTGGCACACAAGTGATGCTCCCTGCCCCCTCCTTGTCTGGGTGCTCCATCTGGCCTGACCCGTGACTGCTTTTCCCACCAGGTTTTGACACTCTGGGATGCAAATAAGCCTTTCCTTGGCACAAAGAATCTGAGGGAACTGGATTTCCAGTCCATGACTGCTGAGGGGACATTATGCAGCCCCCAGGCCCAGCAGCATGGTTACCATGGAATGATCATGCCTGGAAGTCACCTGCATGGAACTGGGACCCTCTCCCTGCCCTCAGGCAGTGCCTGTGTGCAGGGATGGCTGCCTGCACCTCCCTGTCAGCACTCAGCCCAGGCTGCCAGCACCTCTGGGAGCCAGAGCACAGAAAACAGGGATGGTGACCAAGAGCAGAGGTGCCTGTGGGATGGTTTATTGTGTCTCAGTGCTGTGGGGCCATTGTGGATGCAGGGTTTTGCCTCATGCAGGGTTGCAAGGATTCCTGGCCATGGGTAGTGCAGGCAGCATTCAGCCCTTAATGTCCCAGCTGGGGGTGCCAGGGACCATGACCAGAAGCATTGGAGTCACTGCTGGTGCCATCCTGCCAGGGAAAAGGGTCCAGCACAGGGAGAGGTGTGGGTCACACCAGCACCTCTGCTCAGCCCATGGGTGCAATGGCAGTGGGGTGGAGGATGATCCTGAAATGGCAGCTCCTGGCGCAGCCCTTCCTGGCCATGGCTACGCTGTACCTGGAAGAGGGAAATGAGGTGGTCAGTGAGGATGCCTCAGTGCTCCTTCTCTGACGGATTGGGGCCCTGTGGTGCTCCCACCCTGGCTCCCTCTGTCCCCTCCAGGCTGGACCCAGGAGGCAGCAGGCTGGAGGGGACCGTACCCCACACTGGGTGGATGCAGACCCAGATGCCGCCCTGCAGGCAGCAGGGGGGACAGGGGGACAGTCCCTGTCCTGCTGGCACAGGAGGAGGCATTTGGCTGCCTGATCACCCTCTGCTGCAGGGGACAGAGACCTGGCCATGCTGGCACATGTGGAGAGATAAAGGGGTGAGGGGCTCAGAGCACCCCTTCAGGGTGGGGGAGCTGCCCTGCCTGCAGGGGTGAGCTCCTCACTGAGCTCCTGCACCACTGGAGAGCAGCCCAGCCCCCAGCTTCCCATTGCCCCCACCAAGGGTCACAGTGACAGGTACGGAGGGGGCACAGGGGTCTCGTCCCCACAGGGTGCTGGTGGCTTACCCTTGGTGGGTGGTTTGCAGATGTGGCCACAGCCAGTGGTGCAGCACTTGCTGTCCCCAGTGCAGTCACTGTCAGTGTCACACAGCTCCAGGCAGGGCCCCAAGGAGCCCCGCAGCACCATGGGGCACACGCCAGGCTTTGCTGTGGCACGGTGGCTCCCTGGTGACAGGGAAGAGTGCAGCTGTGCTGGGATTCTGTCCCCAGTCCCGCTCCTGGCACAGCCTCAGTCTCCATCCTGTCCCTGTCCTCCATCTTCCTTCCCCAAGCACCACGATGACCTCAGTCACCAGCCTCACACCATACCAGTCTGACCCAGTGAGACCAGTCACAGCTCAATATGGGATGCCAGCTGGTAGCTGGAGTGGTGAAGGACAACCCTTGCTCTGGCTGCAGTCTGAGAGGGTGCAGGAGGGAGGCTCAGGAGGGGGTTCAGCCTTTCACACACTCAGAGCCATCTCAGAGGAGCTGGGCATGGGGATCCCTTCCCACAGCACCCAAGGGCCAGCTCTGAGGGCTGGGGCTGTGCCCAGGGCAGGCGTGTGGCACCGGGAGCTGCAGCCAGTGGCACACACTCCCTGGGGCCTGGATGGGTGCCACCAGCTGCACACCTGGCCAGGCACAGCCGCCGTGCCTTGTTCACAATAGGGCTGGGCACATGCTGGGCTCTGGCAGGGGCAGCTGGGCAAACACCAGTGCAGTGGTGGGCTGGACATGGGGATCAGAGAGGGCTGGCAGGGCTGTACCTGTGTCTGGAGGGGTGCAGGCCAGCCCACAGCCAGAGAAGCAGCACTTGTGCTCCCCAGGGCAGTCCCGGTCATCGATGCAGCGGTTGGGGCAGGCAGCAGCTCTGCTCTGGGCACGCTTCCGTGGGCAGAGCCCAGGTTTGGCTGGAGGAAAGGCTCAGGGTTTGGCATGCAGCCAGCTTGCCCCCAGGGCCCACCACCCCCCTAGAGTGCAATGGGGGCTGCAGACCCCTGGGACTGCCCCAGGGCATCCTCAGCCTGGCATGGGGGGGATCTCCAGGACACCTCACCTGGCTCAGCCAGCACGCAGCGGGTGCAGCAGCCGCGGGGGCAGCACTTCTCCCCTGACTGGCATGAGGTGTCGTTGTGACATCTTGTCCCACAGCTTGGCCCGATGGCACTGCCAGCACGGGGGCAGTATCCTGGGCTCTCTGCAGAGGGAAATGCTCCATGCAGCCATGTCCCAGGGAGCAGGGACACTCCCTCCAGGGGCACCAACACAGGCACCAGCCCACATCCCACCCATTGCCCGACCCTCACGCTGGCATCCCTTAGAGTGAGCAGTACCTGTGGTGGGCAGGAGGCAGGTCCAGACCTTCCCGATCTGGCAGCACTTCTCAGCACCAGGGCAGCCGTGGTCGGAGAGGCAGTACAGGCTGGGGGGCCAGGGAGCTCCGCTCGCCCCCACTGGGCACTCACCCACTTTGGGGGGAGCAGGAGGGGCGGTGGGGGTCCAGTGTCCCTGCAGGGCCCCGTGTGGGGATGCTGGGAGGGCGAGGGCAGTGCCCTGGTCCCTGGGGCTGTGCTGCTGGGCCAGGGTGAGCAGTGCCAGGAGCACCAGAAGGGTGGGGTGGCCCAGCATGGCGCCGCAGTCAATGTGCCTCTGGGCAATGGGCTGGGATTTAAACCCTGCTGGAGTGGGGGCTGGCCAAGCCAAGCTGCTCCTTCTCATGGCAGCACCGTTCCAGGACTGTGGGAGTGCTGGGCATGAACAATTCAGCTTGGGGGAGACTCCTGGGGCAGTGCTGGGCTCGTGGCCCGTGGCTGACACATCTGCAGCTCCCTTTCCAGGTCACTGGTGACCTGTGAGCAGCTGTGCCAAGGGCTGAGCAGCACTCCCAGAGCCACACCATTGAGAGCATGGGTGGACACAGGAGCAGTGTCCTGTCCCAGTCTTCAGTGTCCACTGGATCCCTCCTAGCCCACAAGGAGCAGGCAGAGCTGCTGTGGAGCTGTGGTGCTGGCACAGCCTGCACCTGCCCCACAGAGAGGGGGAACCAGCACCAGACCCTGGGCAGTGCTGGGCAAGGTGTGGGCTCACTCAGTCCCAGGGGATGGCTCTGCCAAGGGCAGGGGCTTTGGGGGTGCCAGCCCCTCCCAGGCAGGAGGGACATGCTCTGATCCCAGGGGTACAGAAGAAACAGGGCCTCTGGAGACCTGTGGAAAGCAGAAAGTGCCAGGGTAAGGACCCCCCCAGATTTGAGCAGGTGGGGAGGGATGTGGCAGGGGCAGGCATGGGACTGTGGGATGTGGCTTGTACTGCCAAAAGCTCCTTCAGGCTTCTGCTGTGGGCAAGGTGCCATGGCCAGGCTGGGAGGGCAGACATAAGGAGAAGTCTGGGTGATGCTCGTGTACGAGCACACACTGCAGCCTGTTTGTCCCCTGGCCATTGCAGGAGCACCTCTGCTCTGATGGGACATGGACACAGCTGCACCTTGACAGTGCTCTGAGCATGGTGGAGGACCCAAGGTGGAGGAGCCAGTGTGCAGGGACAGCTGGAGCCATGGACCCATGGGACAGCCCTGGGCAGGGCACAGGACCCTTGGAGGCATGACAGAGTCAGTCAATGCTGCTGCTTGTGTGAAGCCCTTCCAGGCATGCCTGGCATGGGATGGAGAGGCGGCCATGGCTTGGGATGGAGAGGTGGCCACAGCATGAACAAAGAGGTGGCCATGGTGTGGGATGGAGAGGCAACCACAGCGTGTAAGGGAGAAGCTGCTTTATTGGTGAGAGTGCAGGGGTCTTGCCCTGAGCAGAGAACCCCAGGGAGAAAACTGAGGCTGAAGGCTCCAAGTCGGGGGGATGGTGCAGGGCCATGGCCAGGGCATGAGGGATGGGCATCAGGCAGCAGCTTCCCTGTGGCTGGGCTGACAGGAGGCGGCTGCACCTGCAAAGGAGCAGAGGCTGTGAGCAGGACGGGTGCATAGGCACCGTGCTGAGCTGCTGTGGGATCCCTGGGGCTGGAATGCACCCAACTGACCTCACTGGATGGGTGTCACACAGGAGACCTTGCCACAGCCATTCCTGCAACACTTCTGGATCCCAGCGCAGTTGGCATCGGTCTTGCACTGGTTGGAGCAGACACCCAGCATGGGGATGCCCGGGTTGACAGGTGGGCAGGTGCCAGGCTTCTCTGAAAGGGAAAAGAACATGGCTGAGACCTGCTGGCCCTGGCACGGGGGGCAGGGCCTACCCTGCAGCTCCCAAAGCTGTGGGCATGGCCCTGGCCCCTATCTGCCATGGAGGAGGGACCACCATAGTACCCAGCATTTCCCCCATCCCATAGATCCACTTGTTGGTGCTCCTTGCCAGCTGGACCTGATGGGCACATGTCAGGGAGGTCACATAGCACAGCCCCCCCAATGGTCCCTGTGCCCAGTGTTCCCTCTCAGGGACCCAGGGCTGGCACAGGATGCACAGCTGCAGCATGCAGATGTTATGAGGCCTTGGCCATGCTGTCCTCTACAACTGCCATGGATGACCTAGGCTGTTTGTTCATAGCAGCCTAGGCCTCAGCCAGGATCATGGGCCCCCCAAACAGCCTTTGCCCAACAGTGTGGGGCCCCTGCCCCGCTGCCCCACTGCCTGCCACTGGCACTGAGCTCTGGCTCTGCACCATGCTGCCCTCCACTGTGGTGCAGCCAAGCCAGTGATGTCCCACAGGCAGCCATGGAGGCACTGGAGCCTCCAGGTCACATCCATCTGTCTGCACCTGTGGATTCCAGCTCCTGCACCCATCTCCTTGGGTCACTGTCCAGGACTGTTGTGGTGAGCAACAGAACAGTGCCCCCACATCCTGGGCTGGCAGCTGCCCACAAGGCTGAGCAGGCAACAAGGGCTGCAATGGGGAGTGGCGCAGACCCCACCCTCCACCCAAGCCCCAGCATCATTTAGGGCTGTCCACTCAGCCCCTGCACCGCTGAGAGGAGGAAGGTCTGAGCATGGCCCAGCAGGAGCACGCCCCGAGCCTGCTGAGCTTCCATGCAGCCCCCAATCCTGCAGCTGAACACACATCGGGCACCCCGGCC